GTCAAGTTCAACATTGATGTCTGAAGATAAAATAAATGTGGTCATTCTAAGAAACGAGACTGCGGATTAAAAACAGTGTTACTCTGAAGGGAAAGTTACACAAGAGTACTGACAATTTTAGCTATAAAAGATTTGGAAGGCGGAAATATATTATAATTATATTTTTGGACTGACAAGTGGCTACTGGAGTTTAAACCCAGCAAGTGCAAGGTTATGAAGATTAGGGAAGAGCACAGAGGACCATAGATGGAATACAGGCTCGGGGAGCGAAGACTGCAACTCGCTCAAAGAGGAGAACCTTGGGGTGAGTATTGTACTAAGCATATCGCCTGAGGCGCACATCGTGCGAATAGCTGCTGCAGCAAATGTGCGTTTGGCAAACCTAAGACTAGCTCTCAGAAATCTAAGCAAGCAGTTATTCACAACATTGTATACGGCATATATCAGGACCATATTAGAGTTTATGGCACCATTACGGGTCCCACACCTGGTCAAACAGGTGATCGATTGACTAGAAATCTAATACGATTTAATCGGCCGGGGACGGCATCAGCTTTTTCCTAAGTGAGGAATTTGTTCAGGAGTGAATTACATCAGTTGCTGAGATAATAAGTCAGGCTTAAGTATTAACTTCAATAGGCACTCGATTATCTGCATCTATAAGACGAAAATTTAACGAGGTTACCCTGTCAAAAAAGGTTATACAGGAGTCAAATTCAATGTTTAAAAAATCTGTAGCGACACTAGTCCCGAAGCTAATGGGTATGCCTTGTGGTGAGAGATTAATGGGTCTAAACCTGATAACAAGAAGGACCAGAGTTGATATGATAATGTACAAAATACTTGAAGGAAATAATAGGGAGGACAGGGTCTGATTGTTCGAGAAAAAGGAACCAGGACCACGAGGGTACAGCTGGAAGCTGAAAGCACAGGTGTGTGACAGGGATGTTCTTCAGCAATAATATAATATCTTTATTTACTACAAGTACATGTACAAGGTATGTAGACCATAGCTGACATACTACTATATAGAAAGCCGCTTGTTATGCTGAGCACTTAGGGCAAATTAGGTCACTGTCCCAGGATGCGACCCACACCAATCGACTAACACCCAGGTACCCATTTTACTGATGGGGAACATAGACAACAGTGGTCACAGTGGTGCCTATGCTAACCTTCCTATGGTGTAGAAATATACCTAGTTGGACGAATCTTATTGTGGCTAGCTGGTCCAGTGGTTAACGTGACGGTCTGGAGTTTTGAGACTCTCTGACCGCGGGTTCAATCCCGCCCGTGGTATGGTGTGTAAAGAAACACGCCCAGTGTTTCTACCCTGGCTGAGAATCGAACCCAGACCCTCGCCGTGTGAAGCGAGAGCTTTAGCCACCAGGAAATGGAACGATCTGGACAGTGAAGTTCTATTCTTTTGGATTATAATATTAATGGACAGTGAAGTGGTAGAGGCAGGATCCATTCATAGCTTGAAGTTGAGGTACGATAAGGCTCTCGAGGCCAGGAGAAAATGAACCCAGTAGTGACCAGCGAAGAGGCGGGGACAGGAACTGAGACTCGACTCCTGTATAGATGAGTACAGTATTCCCTTACTGTGTTCATAGTACCCCTTCTTTTCACTGGGTCTATCTTCCACTTGCATATCTCACTCCAGTACCTTATTATAAAAGTGTGTAGGTTTTGGACCAGGTTCTCAAGTATTTTCCATGAATACATTGTTAGGTATCTTTTCCAGTGCAGAAAGTATATTTCCAAGACTTTGAGGAGTTCGCAATTGTTTAACTGCGTTACTGGCTCTACACGAGCTGTAAACAACCTCTCCAGCTCTCCCAGCTTTGATACCTCTCTTGTCTTGAACAGAATGCTAAACACCGAACGATATTCTGAGCGAGAGAGCCCAAGTGATTTGGATAGTGACCCCTGGGATCATTTTCTCTGTTTCGAACGTTCTCTTTATCCACCCTATCATTTTCCCGACTTTCGCAGCATTTGCCTTTAATGTATTTTCTAACTTACTGGTCAGGTGACATTATTAAACCCAAGTCTTTCACATGTTCCTTTCGTACCATAAGATGGTCCTCTTATGTCTTGTATGTATTACAGTGTCTATAAGTTATCCATTATTTCCATATCTGGCAGTTGGGGTCTCACACTTGAATATCATGTTATTTTGTACCTCCAACTGGAAGACTTTGTTTAGCAGACAACGAGACACGAGTCAATCCTCTTCGGCAGCTTATTAACGTATATTAGGAAAAATAATGTTCCTAGAACTGACCCTTGGGGCTTGGGGAACTCCACTTATACTTTCCTATCCTGAAGCATCTACACTAACCATAACCCTCTGTCTTCTGTTCGTTAGGTATTCCTTGATCCACTACAGGACTTTACCTCCTGTTCCTCATTCTCACATCTTTTGCAGATGACATCCGAATTTGACAGTGTCATCCATAGACGATGATGAAAGTCTCCCAGAGGACATCAACCAAGTCTTGAAATGGGCCACAGAAAACAATGTGAAGTTCAGTAAAGACAAATTTCAATTATTCCGATATGGAAAAACTCGAGGAAATTAAAACTGTATCGGAGTATAAAACAAATTCCAACCACACAATAGAGCGAAAAACTAATGTGAAAGACCTGGAAGTGATAATGTCAGAGAATCTCACTTTCAAAGATCACAACAATGTATTTACCACATCTGTTAGGAAAATGGTAGGATGGGTAATGAGAACCTTCAAAACTAGGGATACCAAGCCCATGATCATTCTTTCCAATTCTCTTGTTCTCATGTGGTAAGGTGTATGGTGTGGTGGGGTGTGTTGGGTGTACTCACCTAATTGCGGTTGCAGGGGTCGATTCATAGCTCCTGGTCCCGGTAGGGAGAAGTGTGGGGTGTGTAGTGTGGCGTGTGTGGAATGGAAAAGAGTCAGTGTGACTTTTTTTTTTTTGGGGGGGGGGAGGGGGTATCCCAGGTAACCTACACATATGTAACTAGTTATTAAGTTTGTCAGGAAACAGGTCAAGTGTTTCCTGACGCGGGTCTTAGTCATATGATGACCCGCATCTGGAACTTTTGGTCATCTGACCGAGGCCTTCCACTGGCTTACCCCTCTGCCCCTTTAAAAATAATGGCTACAATTATAATCATTTGTTAACATATGTTACTATGTGTCATAACTGTTCTTATGTGTACCTGTACCTAAATAAATTTACTCATCATATGAATACTTTATCCTGCCTTTCTGGTCTGATCCTAAATTAAGATTTATTATCACACTGGCCGATTCCCACCAAGGCAGGGTGGCCCGAAAAAGAAAAACTTTCACCATCATTCACTCCATCACTGTCTTGCCAGAAGGGTGCTTTACACTACAGTTTTTAAACTGCAACATTAACACCCCTCCTTCAGAGTGCAGGCACTGTACTTCCCATCTCCAGGACTCAAGTTCGGCCTGCCGGTTTCCCTGAACCCCTTCATAAATGTTACTTTGCTCACACTCCAACAGCACGTCAAGTATTAAAAACCATTTGTCTCCATTCACTCCTATCAAACACGCTCACGCATGCCTGCTGGAAGTCCAAGCCCCTCGCACACACAACCTCCTTTACCCCCTCCCTCCAACCTTTCCTAGGCCGACCCCTACCCCGCCTTCCTTCCACTACAGACTGATACACTCTTGAAGTCATTCTGTTTCGCTCCATTCTCTCTACATGTCCGAACCACCTCAAGATATATAACTGCTATATAACAAATCCGTCAGAGTGCATAATGTTTTGAGTTAGCTAACTCAGGGGAAGCTAGTTTATTCTGGTATATACAAATACAGTTACATAAATTATTACACATAGCAGCATATGTGTAGAGAACCTGGGATAAACCCCCTCCCCCCCAAAAAAAAAAAAGCCAGAGTAATTTATTTCCATTGGGGTCTTTTAAATTTCCATTGAAGTGGTAGTGGCAGTACTATGTATTGTGGCAAACGTTGCAAGGATAGTGTTGTGCAACACCACAATGCCTGCCACTACTTACTACTACAAACAATCATGTTCACTTAGTGACCCTCTCAGACTTGAACTTTACTTATGACTCAACTAACTCAAAGTATTAGTTAGGTACTTAGTATCATAACAACAGTAAGACTGGATAATGTGCTCATATTTAGATACATGTACACTTATGTACAATTATACCACATGGTAACATATGTATAAATTACCTAGAATAACCCAAGATAGTCCAAGGGAATTATGTCCATTAGGGTCCATGTAATATCTTATTATTGAAGGCTTAGCCGTTGCACAACAACATCCTTGCAACACTTGCCATGTAGCCAAATCTACCACCTCCTTAATTTTCCTATTTTACTAACCTTCTATATTATATAACAGCAAACTTGGTAAATATTTCTTGCATCTCTAGGGTACACATTTATACATGAGTTTGTGGCACGTATATGACAAGTGATCTTATTTATTGTTGTTTGATCTCTTAAATAAAATATTGAGTGGGTAACTATGGGGTACAACGACCGTTAATGGTAACCCACAACTGCACCAGTCTTATTATGAAGTTATCTTATCACTACTACTGCTACGCGCCATCCATATTGCATATGCGGTACATACGTATTGTTAACTATTAAGTTAGATTATAGGAAATATTATTTGAGTACACGTGTCCACATAATTCCGTCATCTTTACAGATTACCGTTGAGTACATCTGTCTAGATTTTCTTAGTTTCGAAGATTTTAGTTTATTTCATGATAATATATATAGATATTTTTCAGTTATTACTCGTATCTTTGAGAAGTACGTTTAGTCACGTGGCAGTTGAGATTTTAATGTTGGAAATAAAGATAAGAAATATTGATAAGTGAGTAGCCAGGGCCGACCCTGTAACATTATTGGAACAAGAGAGAACATCTGGCAACGTTCCACACCTCCGCGTGTTACGTTTCCAGTCTCGTTCACTGTCTTCCAATGTATACCTCGACGCTGAATAATTATTCTGCCCTTCATAGTTTCTTTATATAATATAATTAACATTGCCGATGAATGTGGAGGATTGTTTTAAAATAAAGGCCACTTTATATCTCCGCACTTACTTACGATACGGAATTATTATGGCTGTTAATCGAAGTCCAAGCCCATACTACCTAACTGAAACCAGATAAGAATTTTCAACGTTTGCTGCATAACCTTATTTTATTATCTACATCCTTTGTATATTAATAAACATAGTAATATTGAACTTTCACAGTCTGTTAAGTGAAAAATAAATATCCATCACCGAGATTAAACTCGACGTTTTGTATATACGGTAAACGTAAGCCTTTAAGTTTTTTTAAGAGATGTGGGTGTCCCATGACGGCCATTCTAAATGCGTACAAGAACCTGTCCTTGAGAAACCAAACATGGACCATACTGTCGACAATTGAGCAAAACTTGCACATATGCATCTTCTACCCACTTGACAGCCTTACTAGTGGCGGACAATAACTGAGGTATGTAATTAGAATGTGCCCAAATGCGTGATGAACGTTGGAATTGTCAAACGTTTGTGGTAAATGTGAGGAAAGTGGGTGTTGGTTGTGAGGCGGCGGGTGCGCAATGGCGAGCACAAGGCCGCTTTTATGACTCTATTGTCCTCTTATACTGGTGTATATCCCACGTAGGAACACTGGGATGTCTTGTGCTCGTGTTAGTGCAGCGGGGTAAAGATGAACACTTCCGGAACACGGATGAATTAACCTGCAATAAACGTTTTGTAATTAGTAATGTAGGCCTGTGTGGCAGCCAGACTACGTTGTAAGGCGTAGGCTGTGACTCACCGCCCCGCCATAATACATCTCCCACACTACATAATATAGCCTTCCTGCCACTTAGTTCGGCCTGCCTGGCAACACCACTACAGTGGAAGTTTTGTATCCTGGCCTCACAATGTCTGGAGGCTGAGATATATCGACCAGGAGTTTTATCCCCCATACCCCAGCCAGCCTTCATAGTGAGTCATCCTCGTTAAACAGATTGGATTTTTTTTTTCTGGGTCAGTTTAATAATTGGATGCTTTAAATTTATGCAGTGATTGCATTAAGTTTATTTTTATAAATACATAGTAGAGTGGTGATAACGTATTGGGTTACTTGTGCTAGGTTAATTTCTATATAATGGAAATAAGTCACTTTTGACTTTAGGTTATCCTAGGTACTTTACACTGTATGGTTATTGTACTTGTGTACGTGTACCTAAATAAACTTATTTACTTGCTGCTTTATATGAAACCATTGTATAACTTGCAAGCGAGGAGCTTGAGATCCAAGGAATTGGACTTAACTTTTCATTCCTTGTATCAAACTTGATATCCTGCCACTCCTCAGAGTGCTGTATAACACCAAGTATAATGCTTTCAGCTATGGTTACTGACAGATATAGGGTGGAACTATTTTATTTTACACTTTAATGTTTAGGTTATCCTGGGTTAAGTATTTCTTGTGCAGACTTTTGAGAGCAGTGCTTTATGACCCTGGTGGGTTTAGTTCTTAGTTTTGATTATAATAATTGTTTTGAGATAAAAATTGGTTAGGTTAGGTAAGGTTAGGTTATGTAAGATTAAGTTAGGTAAGGATGCATTCGGTAAAGTTACATGGTCAAGTTACGTTAGGTTATGCTTAGGTAACTTGTAGTGAAAATTCCACCCATCTTTGTTTACATTCAGCCAGGCACGAGACACCTAAGTGTGCTGCTTGACATACATGAATGTATTTATTTTTCCGTATATCTCTTGAAATAACAATTTACAAAAGAAATTATTTATTCCTTGCTGTACATAGGTTGTATGTATTGGAAAAAGGAAAAATAACGACAGCATTCCACAGTATTTTTTTTTTATATATATTTTATCACGCATTATACATACCACAGAGATATGTCGCACAGAAGATGAAAAAAAAAATGCTATACAATACACCCCCCCCCACACAAGGAAGCTATATGCACCACAAGGTGCTTATTACCTGGAGTTTACCTGGAGAGAGTTCCGGGGGTCAACGCCCCCGCGGCCGGCAGTGACCAGGCCTCCTTAGTGTCAGTGTCCCCAGGATGCGACACACAGTCGAACTATACAACCAGGTACCACATTTTACTGATCAGGGGAACAATAGACAACAGGTGGAAAGAAACACGTCCAATGTTTCTACTACTGGCTGGGAATCGAACCAGGCCTCGCCGATGAATATGCGGAGCGTTAACCACCAGTGCCACCAGAGCTTATAGCTTGTATATATATATAGTACACCTCCAGTGTACTACATATATGTACGAAGGACTACTAAATGTTTACATATCTTTGTGTAACATGTGAACATGAGAGGGGCAAACGTTTGTCACATTCAGCGTTAAATATGTGTACGAGGTACCACACAGTGGTAACATCGGTTAACTAAGACGTCTTAATAGTACAAAACCAACCTAACCACATTCATTCAACACAAGGTAACAAACTACTATAAGTACATGCAGGTCTCAACATAATGTTCCCCTGCACTACCACTATAAGGACACGCAGATCGCAGCATAATATTCACCTTCACTACCACAAAATGTGTGGGAAAAGTATACATTGCTTAACAATATATTATTACATGAAAAGAAACCACACCAGTCACTGCAACAAATAAAACCAGAAAACACAATTACAGAGGTGATTTATGATCATGCAAAAGTTGTCCCTGGATCAACTATGCATCCATTCCAAAACATAAGAGTAATTAATCCAATAGTACAGTGCAACCTCTCCCACTCTGTACAACATCCTACCACCAGTCACACTTACAAAGGTTATGTCAACACACCCATCCACACGCTGGAAGCGCGCCTGTCCAATATCATCATCACAGCACTCCCCTTAAACCACAGTTACATTGCACCCTCACTAAAGCACTAACCTCTAATGCCAACCCCTCCCCCCCGTACCCCAGGAATGGGCTAATATATGACACCTCATTCCCAAATCATCTCTCCCCTATAACCCCACATGATAAAAACATAATTCACAACCACGTACACTGCCGCCCTCACCTCTGTCACCAACGCCCCACCCATGTCCAAACTGAGCATCCTCAAAATGGACATCCTCCTCCCCCCACCACCAAAGTTAAAACATGAGTGAACCATTCCCTTAGCCCCCTCCAGGCGCTTGCAAAAATACAGAATGTGAAAAGCCATCTCCTCCTCCTTCACGGAATCTACAGACTCCATCTTCCACCACCCTTCTATTCCTTAACTCTACACCTGACGGCAGGATTCCATGTAGGAACCTGAACATCACCTCATGTTCCCTAGGGTGGACCCGCAACTTCTTAAACCTCCAAATCCCTCTCCAGTCATACACAGGGTATAGTGCCACCACTGGTGCCTCTGTGTGACCCAGTAAAGCCCTATACAGCACCTTCACCCTGATCTGTTCCGGCTCCCTTATTGCCATCATCACTCAACAGCCATTCACAATCACGAAAATCGCTGCCTCGAACAGTCTGCCTAAGCACCTCGTACACCTTCTCTAGGCACCCCCCTCCCTTAAAAGCTTCGGCCAGCAACACCACTCTTTTAACATATATGCACATCACCTACTTGCGCAGATCAAATAACCCCCAATCCCCCTTCTCGCACCGGCAAAGTAAACGCCTCTCTCCTCGGTCAATCACACCTTGACACCCATAAGAAGCGAAACCCCAGCTCTTAAGTTCGACCTATCACCTCCCCAGTGAGTGAGTAAACGTTAGCTACGTGCCACACCTTACTATACAGAAGGACATTGACAATGATAGCCCTCTGCACCAGTGATAAATGGTAGTCTCAACCCATGCAATCTATTCACTACACTTATTCACTACCCTCTCCAAGTTAACCTCCCTCGCCCTATCCCTATCGCCCGCACATACTATCCCACAGATCTTTAGAGAATGATCCACATTTGTGACAACTGGGCATCCCCACACCTCGTGGCCTGCCCACTCACCCAACTCCATTACCTTCGATTTACCCACGCTTACTGCCATACCTATCACCCTCGCAAATGTTTCGACTACCCCACCCAGCACGTCTAGCCTCATATATTCGTTAACCAGTAACGTGGTATCATCCACATAACCAACGATCTCCTGGGGTAAACCCTATCTCCCCCACCCATGATGCCACCAAAAACCTTTTCCAACACCAACCTATAAAAGGGAGCCTGTACACATGCGAAGAGCATCTGAGATGGTGGGCACCCCTGCCTCAAACCCCTTCCCATGTCCACAACCCCGTCCAACCTATCATTAATCTGAACCCTCGCCTTAGCCCCCCCCCTGGTACAGCGTATCAACCCCCCCCCCACTATTTCCTCCCCAAACCCCTGGCTGAGGAGAATTCATCACATGGCATCCAGTTCAACAGAATCATATCCCCCCCCCCTCAAGTCTAGGGCCAATAAAGCTCCTTTTCTCGCCCTCCTCCTCATTCGCCCACAAAATCACCAATAACCGAATGTCCAGAAAGCATTGACCTACCCAGAAGGCCATATTGTCCCAGTGAGACAACACGACCCACGATGCACTTAATGTGGTTTCCCATCACCTTGTCAAACAATTTGTAGTCAGCGCACAACAGAGAAATTGTCCTGTACTCCCCAAGACTCCTCTGCCTCTCCCCCTTCGGCACCAACACTACCACCGCTGTTGACTGCACTGACCCCAGCCTACCCCCATCTTTTATTGCATTCAGCAATTATATAAAAAAACCCATGCAAAATGTTCCAGTGCTGTACATAAAATTCCACCAGAATACCATCCAACCCTGGGGATTTACCCTTCGTCAACGCCATCAATGCACTCCAAATTTCTCCCTCCTCACTCACCCTCCCCCCTCCCCCCAATGCCTTCCTTGCACTCTGCCCCAGGTTGCATGGTATTCTTTTGCAAACTTCCACCAGCTCCCCTTCCCCCCAACCTTTTGTACCCCAAAAACCCTCGTACCACCTATCAGCAAACACACCCATTGCTTCCGTATTGTGTAAAACCTGCCTCTCCCTGAAACCCCTGACTTTGTAGTGTACCTCCAAGCTCAGTATGTTGGTTGCACCTCCCCCCCTCTGCTTCTGCCCCCACAAAACACAGGGTGAAGGCTTGTCACCCCATAACACCTCTACTGCCGCCTGTACCCTCACTGCGTCAAAACCCTCATTATTGATGCCCCTAACCCATTCCTTCAATCCCTTAATTGTATCAACAGGGTACACCCCCCGTCGCCACCCCCTGCCTATGACAGTGCATCAGTCTGTCCTCAATAATTTGCCAGCCCCTATTTCATATTCACCCTTCTTCCCTCTCCCAAATAAAACTTGTGTATCATTAGTTTGGCCACCTTTTCCCACCAATGCAACCCCTGTCCCTGCCCACCAACCCATCTCGCTCCTCCCTCCACTAATCCTCGAAGCCCGCCACATGCCTCCTCATCACTCATCACC